TGTGTTGGCCTGACAGGTTAGGCTTTTGTGATATCGTGTGTCTCCCCTTGGTTCTTCACTCTTCCCACCCTGGAAGACGTTAAATCGCTATCGCCGGGGGTAGGAAATGAAATTGATATTTTCCAAACAACACCACGAGGTGATGGTGCCTCATCCGGACGTGTCCGAGGCCTCGGAGTGCCAGGTGTCCTGAGGCAGCCTGTCCACTGAGGACATCGACATGTATTGATGCGATGTTTAAAATATTCATAGTCTGATCGCTCTTACAAAAGCCCTATCCAGTGTAACTAAGTAAATACAGATGATCATGGATGATTCACTGAGATGGAGGCGGGGGAAGATATCCTCGCCGAAATGACAGTTAGTTAAAGCAGCCAATTGGAAGTCCCCAACAGGTATGATTCATCAGTGCAGTGTCAACGTGCTGCAGTTACGTCGAGAGTCACTATTCGCACTTTGTGGATCTGTTGCCTTCTTTATAGAGCCGCAGGGACGTTTGGATTCTCATGTTTTTTCGAGTAGTCACAATAGCGGATGGATGTGCTCTTTTAATGGGCTGAGAAACCAAGGGAGCGAGAGTCAGGCATGTGAGAGTACCAGTGCAACTAATAAAATGTACACGTGCCAAGAGAGGAGCAGATTTTCACACCTTTTAACTGTCTCGGTTTTAATTGTACCCAAAACCCAAAGGGCCGCGCACATAAAATCACAATCAAGTAGAGTAATATTTTAACACCTTTCGGTTCGCATTCACTATCTGTAACAAAAAGCATAATTACATTTAGTTGTGAATGTCTTGATGCTTCCGGCAATATATTAGTTTATTTGGCCGTATTTCACCACGACACAAATAGATTACGAGATGAGGGAGTGCTTTCTTAATCATCATAAAGAGAACACCACCACTGCACTTGGCAGGAATGTGGCGCATTCTCGCTCAACCCTTTATCAAGCCTCGCATCCGGACCGACAGTCAACAAGACGAGCGGCTTCACGTGAGCAAGCGTAGTAACTTCAAGTCTCGTAAAAAGCCCATTACATAGTGTTCCATGCAGCCCTCTGTGCTCAGCTACAAGCATTCAACTGAGAAAAGCTGCTGAGACTGATTCAGACTCTGAGACACCCTGCGTGGCGGAGCGGCGAGATCATCACAACAAACAACCCCACACCTTGAGCATCCAGACACGGGGGAGAAAACTCCGGTGTCAGCAAATGTCTCCCGCCTCCATAAAAATACCTCACATGAAAACGCCCTCGAGAAAATGTCAGACCGGGATCCGTGAAGATTTCACATAATGAAAAGTTGGGGGGGGGGGGGGGGGTGGCCCAGTCCAATTTGGCGTGAATGTGTCTTAGGGATCTGGGAGCTAGCAGATCTAATATGCAAGTCAGTATCGGGGTTCGACAGCGCCGTAGTGTAACGCTGAGGGCTGAACAGAGCGAGCTGAGCAGCCGGGGCAACGGCTGTGTGCTCCGCTGCTCTAAAGCACCCTCCTTTTTGTTGTACGGGAAAGTGGATTGACGGCGCTGCAGCTGAGTGGGATCAGAGGAAGTGAGCGTTAGCCCTTCAAGAGCGGCGTCGGACAGAATCATCATGTGAAGCGTGGTGAAGGTAAGGTACGCATAATCACGCAAACGCACGCGAGATATATCGTCATAATTGTGATGGATTTTACACGGATCGTATCAAAACTTTCCCCCGTGCCAAAAACAGAGGGGAGAAATTGGGAAACTGAGGTTGGGACACTGCAGGTATGTTTTTCTTTTTCTTCACTAAATGAGAAAATAAGAGGGTGGTAATTTTCTGTAAATTGGCATCGCACTTCATGTCAGTGGATTAGGAAATTAATGAAAAGCGGCTAGTCAATCTGACACTTTTAAATTAAGAGGAGAGTATCCAAATGACGGAATTAAAATGGGGAGAATGAAGTAGAGGATAAATAATCGGCTGGGGAAAATTCTGACAGAGAAAGAAGTGGAAAACATGGCAAAATGAGGAGAAGAGAGTGGAAACAGAGTCAGCAGCGGACGCTCCAGGCCATGCCATCTGTGGGTGGATCTGCAAAGGCTGCGTGCCACACACCTGTGTGGAAGTGCCTGGGAGATAAGGCCCTGAGCACAATGGCCCCGCGGCCACCTGCGCTGCCAAACAGGTGCACAGCCCAGCCAATTAAACTATTAGACAAACACAGGCCTCTGGGAGCAAATTAGCAGGCTGCCCAAACATCAGAGGAAAAACAAAAAGCAATGGTAAGCACTAACTGTGAAAGAAGAGTTGATAGGAGACTTTTATTTCAGTGGGTAGACATTAAGTTCAGTGTTCCGCGAAACAAAAGAACTGGTTTTGATTTTTTTTTTTTTGTCCCTGAAATGTCAAGAAATGTCTCCAGGGTTTAAACACAGATTACCAAGTTTGTGATTTCATATTAATCGTAACATTTTAATGAATATTATAGATTACCACGTGTTAAGGCTTAGTGCTACATTGTGCTATTACATATCTAAATAACTAATATTTATTGATATAGAGAAGAGAAGAAGAGGCACTGGATACAGTAGGAAGATTTTGTGTGTATGTATTATAAATATGTGTTTATGATCAATGGTCCACATTTATAAAAAAACAGGGCTTTAAGTGGTCACACAAAAATGGTAAGTTGAGTTAAATACAAGATAAAAAATCCAATTACATGTTTTGCTCAGTTTAATTAAGCAATCCTACTGTACTTGTATATTACATTTTGACAGGGATTGAATCAAATCTCTCAGACTAAAATCATAATATTTATTTTTACTTCAATCAAATACTGCGCAGGATCGTATATGCATTCCTCTTTTAATATCAGACCATTGTGGGCCGATTCTTCTAAAATGGCAAATAACTCCAAACAAACATTGAATTCTGCTCTGTATGACACAAAATAATTTGAACATCTTAGACAAAGTTTGTTTAGCTAGAAAGTAATCAGCGATAAATAATAAAATGGCAGCATATAATTCAAAAATTACTTATACATATATTACTTATACATTAATGTTAAAGGGGGGGATTTGGTAATTTTTCTTTTTTGTTATCTGTAAAAAACGATAAATATTTAAAAAAAAATCCAAAATATAAATACTCAAAAGACAGCCAGCAGATCATTATTATAAGGTGTAAATTAAAACAACCATGAGTTCATGGTTATTTTTAGTATATTATAACATAGCGTACAAAGGTCACATTAACATAGTGGAGGCGGAGGGGAAGCAAACCAAATGTGGATTTCCTGTGTGTCATGATCCATGACAATTAAGTGCATTCATATTCATTAGGGGTAACCTTATCCATGCTGCAAGAAAACAATCAGTCCCTTTGCCTTTGAGGGGAATAATGAGAGGCATAAAGATGAGCAGGAGATGTGGGGGGGGGGCGTATTTGGTCAACACTTGCACAGACCTCCTCGGCACACACGATCCCAAAGGTGGATTTCTCCCCGCGTGAACCTTGCCACCCGTAGGAGGCAACCAGTCCACAAAGCAACGGTCTCTTACCTGCTGGTCGAAGACTCAGCCATTTAACCCCCCCCCCCCACACCCACAGGGCGAGCCTGGCCTCACTCGCGTCCCCTCGGCACCAGTTGGCCTTTCTGAGTGGAGAGGCTGACTTGACTCCCCACAGCTTGCTGGAGACTGACTTCACAGCTCGGCCGTCCCTCGAGGGATAACTGCATAGCTGTCCATTTATATTAAGTATGCATCTGTGTAAAGCTTACAGATCCAGTTATGGTTTCTAACTTCTCAAGAATCTCACCGACATGTCCAGTGAGTCCCACTGGCGTATTGTCTACCGTAGCAACAGATGAATGGCTGAGCGGTTCATGTTACTAAGAGCACACAACTCTGTCCTTTTCTACTGAAACTGGTTCATGCGGGGATGCAGCGGTTTAACTGGTGCACACAGATTAAATGAAGGATCTTTTGGGGCCATGCTGGCAGCTCCTTTCTCTGTATTCAGGGTGAACATTTAAACGTTTTAATGACCATTTAATATGCACTATTCATCGATCTGCTGTTGCTAAGGGTTTCGTGTGACCAAACCAAAATCAAACATTTAAAGAGTGATGGAGGCTGGATTGAGCCTCCACTAGAGGTGTTGTTAAACTTTGGTGTATCATATAGAAGGATGCTTCTGTTATGCAGGCCCCCCCTCCCCACCTGACTGACATAAATGGGGTGGACAAAATAATAGAAACACCTGTCAGCATGATGTTATGCATTTCAGCTGCACTGAAATGAAACCTCCGAGATGACCATACAATCAATCAACATGTCTTAAAGGGTTTGGAAAAATGGAATGTCCATTGCAGGATGTTGGTATTGGGTTGCATTAGTTTTCTCGCCATGTGTACCTAATAAAAGGGGAATGAGTGTATACCTCCAAACCTCTAAGTTGTTTTAATCCATATTTCCCTGAATTATGTTTAGATCCCACTAAGATGAAAAGCTGTATTAAACGTTGTTTTACATCCAAATGCTGCGTGACAGGAATGAAAAGCCTCAACCTCGAGAAAAAGCTCTTATGTGCAGCGTTCGTCGTCTTTTGCATTTAATCAGTCAGTCTGAGCTTTTGTCAGATCTGCTGTGCTGTGCTCCACAATGGAGAGCCGATTCCTCCGTAAAGGCAGGATGGCAAAAAACTACATTCAACTACACCCTTTATGTGTAGATGCATTTAAACCTCTTGATTTGGGATCGTGTCAAATAGAAGATGTAACAAAAACACATGGTTTTGAAGAATTTGTCATCAAACAATCACAATTTCCAAGAAAGAATTAATGGATTCTCGCAGAAAAACGAGAAATAAATAATTGCAAGATCATTGTGCAATACTTGCATACCAGGTGCTCATATTCACTTTCATATAGCAACGCCTGGAGGATAACCAACCAAAACATATGGTTCTATTAATGTTACTGTTTCCAAGCACCATTTTCAGTGTGTGAAAAAAAGTGACTGACCTGACAGGGTTACTAGTGAGAGACACTCTGAGGGACTCCAGGCAATTGAGCAGCTTCTCCTCCGTGATGCCTGAACGCAGCTCGTGGACATACTCTTGGGAGGAAAGTGTAGACTCATGCTTGCTGTTCCTTAGTCCACCCTGAAATCAAAATAACAGGATCATCACCATCATGCACGATCACACCTTGGTAATGTCCTCATAAACAATGAAGGCAATGGAGATCAAAAGAAATGTGTGAACACGGTTGGAGGGCATGATTTGGTTTGATTTGCATCAAGATGTGTCTTACATAAAGAGGTCACTGAACAATTAAAGACCCATACAATGAGAAGAAACCTGCACCATCGAGACTCAACATTATTATAAAGAAGACGGCAAGTACCTTGTTTTCTTGGTAGATGTATTTGTTAAGACTTATTTTGAAACTTGAGTTTTCAAAAAAGGATAAGTGAGCACCTAATATTAGCTGACCTTTTGAGCTAATATTACAATGACGGCCCGTACGGACGGAGAGCAACATACAGGCTCTTCATTCTGTCTCCAGCAAAGCAAATTGGCTCTTGTGTTTAATCTCCACAAAGGCCTCTGGAGAGACGCCTACACAATGAGACTACCTATTGGCAGCAATACACACAATTAAACCACAACAGGGAAAACATACATCTGCAGACTCACTCTCCCAGCACAGTGTAGTCAACATCGTGGATGTGAGAGTGATTGAATGTGTGGTCTGGAAATGTGGCCGCGCGGTGCAGAAATCAACACACATTTTTCAGGAATAAAAATGAAAAATATTTTATATTCCCATGACAGGCTCCAAGAGCAAATAGGTGTTTAGTATATTTTTCCAGGTTGTCTTGTCAAAATGAGCTACATGTCAGCTGGGGGTTGAGTTAATGTACTTTGCAAAACAAACTGAGCAAACACACAAAACGGGAAAAAAAAAGGAATCGCATATACGCCTGAACCCGACTGCTGGACCAAATCCTCCACACTGTGTTCATCCCTGCGCTGCTGCTTCCCCACACAGCTCAGCTGTGCTAATAGGCAGTTTGGTGAGTAATAAGCTAGCTCATTTATCTGGAGAAAAGAGAGTCCTGCTGCTCTCCTACAATGCAAAGTCAACATGAAAGAACCATTTTTGTTGTTGTGGCTGTTTTTTGTGAGGAAAAAAGCAGAGGCAGAGCATCAGCGTGCTGCTAATAACTTTAGCTTTAGATGTAAACTGAGCTCATGGTTTGATTTGCTCAGTAATGAGTGTTCTTATTTGATGAAAGCTGTTATAGAGCTGCTGGCTCTTCTGGAACTAGTGTCAAAATTAAATGTAATAAATGTAAGCAAAGAGAGAGTGGAGTTTATCTTTGAGGGCATGAAAACAAGGATCGACTGATTCATTTCCACTTAATTTCACCATTTATAATAATTTTCTATTATGGTTATCTACCAAGGCTTTCAACAGGTTCATCTGATCTGCTATTGCGACACTAACCCAGGGGAAGGATGTCAAACAAAGGTAAAGCTTAGGTAAAGCTTTCTTTTCCAGTGTATATATATATATATATATTTTTTTTTTTTTCTCTGTCTGTGTCTCTTCATCTATAGAAACACTTATGCCATTCATCGTTCTCTTAAGCGCCGTTGTGTAAATGTGGGGGAGGAACTGGTTTAGCTTTAATCTGACTGAGAAGTAGTTATTAGACCGGAGGGAGTTGCTATGTAGATGTTTCCTTCCCAACCAAAGGACTCTTTGTTGCCTGACGTATCTTTGAATTTGACGGAGAAAATAACGAAAAAGTCATAACGCAAGACACACACTGTGCAAAAGCTCAATTAAGTTTGAACCACTTAACAAAACCCCAGGGTGAAATAACGGGACTTTGGAGGTTCAACGTTGAACTCTGACAGTTGTGTGACACTTAGAAAGCAAAACCATCTTCTCTTTTCTGCTTCTTTGAGTACTTCAATGTACCTGTACTTCCTTGAGTGACGGTACTTGATTTTCTAAAACAAACTCTTGACTCTCTCAGTGCCGAGGGTGATGTCAAGCCATCAACATACTAATTGTCACTTTGCAGGAGAAGTATTCCATAACAAAGTAAAAAGTCGCCAGAATTTTCAAATCACGGCCCAATGAGTAAAGAGAGACAATGGTTGCCGTCTTCTGTCTACGTGTCGTCACAGCTGCATCGCCGTCAAATAACCAGCTGCTTTTGTTTTGAAATGCACTGCTGTCGGCGTTGGATCGCTTTTGATGAATCACAAATGCTAAAATAACAGGGTCAGGGTTAGAGTTGGACCAGTAGAGAGGCAATAAGTCACCAATGAGCTGCACGGGGTTTTCAAAGATGACAGCGGGTGAGATGCATTAAAGTCACAGTGCTGGTTTCACGAGAGTTTGAAGACCAATCGCCAGCCATTTGGCTTCGTCGGGGACACCTTAGAAGCTGAACTAGGGTTCAAATTGACCCGGAAACCGCCGACATCAATGATAAAGCTTTAATTTAAATGGATGCAATGTTGGCAAAAGAATCACTTCTAAACAAAATAATTGACCCAAACATAGAACGTCAATACGCTGCATGAGAAAAAAAGTTCAAATGTTAACACGGCAGTTCAATTTCTGCAATTCCCTTTTTCGGATATGGCTAGTTAAGAGGCTGCGTTTTCAGAACATTTCTTCCAATAATACACAAGCCACTGAGCGGAAAACACATCACCCACTTTGTATTAATCTCCATACTTGGCAGTGGTTCCCAGCACGCGTACCACCATGTCCAGAAAAACTAGAGCTCTGGTTTCACCGCCTGCTCCGACCTCTGGAAACCAAAGACTGTGACCATCAACTGCTTTTTCATGACCCTGCCCCAAATCAATGGAATCCTCGGGGATAATATCATTATTACACCAGCGAACTGGCAGCAGAGAAACAATCTGAGGATTAGAGGGAGGCGGCATTACCTGCTGGCTACTGGGTAATAGAGTTTCCCCCCTCGGGCTCACAAAAATAGTCAACAGCAGAAAATGGGCAAAAAGAGGCCCCCGGAGGAAGGGACGAGGCGACGACGGGGAGGGGGGAGAGATGTCGTGTGGGCCCCGTGAGATGAAGTAGCAAGACGTAAAAAAAAAAAAAAGAAAAAGCGGAAAAGGGAAGCAGAAAGAATGTGAGGGCGATATAGGGGAAAAAGTAGGGGGTTAGACACAAAGACATGAAACGCGTGTGCGGGAGAAAGGGCAGAGATAGAGAAAACCTACGCAGCGGAGGACGGACACAGCCTTTTGACCGCGGCCTACTGCCTCATCTCCCCACGTTTATTGAATCCCCTCTTTGCCGATAACAGCATTTCCTGCCAAAGAAAATAGTGCTGGGAGCAATTACTTCAGTGAGCCTGTCAATTTCTTTTTAGAGGGGGGGGGTTGGTAGGGGGGCCCCCACCCCTCCCGTTCCCTCCCCCTGCATCAATCCTGTCTGCCTTCCACTATGCCAGGGGGAGTGACGGAGTGCTGGGCTTTCTATCGGGGGCAGAGCAGGGAGACAATGCCAAGGCCGCTGCACCTCCACATGTCACCTTCACCTGTAATGAGCCCATAACAAGCTGGCGGCTTCCTGGGTGCCCGGCGCTCGGCACACTCGGGGCAGGCTGACGGATACATTATTCAGCTTCGTTGTCACCTTACTGGGAAACCGCACGGCTGCAATGCGTCCGGCCTGGAAGCCGGAGGTGGGAGATAGCGGTTAGCTGTTAGCTGCTGCTTCTTCTTCTTTCCAGTCGGCATGGTTGCTTGCTCAGGCACCAGTGCACCATTATTTTTCCTCAGTCTTATTCATTGGCACGGTGTGTGTGATGGAGAGGGATTTTTTTTTACAGTAAATGAAGCAACCATAGTAACAATAGTTAGGAAAAAAGGAAACATTTCTTTAGATGCTCAGTAGCAACGCCCCTCAAAGCTTTTTGTCTGAATTTGTTCCCCTTATAGGGATCGAAAAACACGACCCTACGGGACTCATTGCTGCACCTTATTTAAAGTGGAGCATATATTTTGCATTCAGCTAATTATGAAAGCTTATGTAACAAGGATTACTGCAGCAGAACTAAGCAGAGAAAGAAATATACAACTCCGTCTAACTGCTTGTTTGATGTGTGTGTGTGAATATAGCATAGAGCTTTCTGAGGAGCGCTGATGTTAAAACACTGCCTGTTTCACTGTTCTGAATGAAATAGTTTCGCCTCGAGGTTTGAGAACAAGTGACAAGCATGTTCAAAGTCACGCCTCCCTTCCTGATATTTCAACGTGACAAAGAAACTTCCACGTTGGGGAAAAAAATTGAACTGCATGTTGGGGGGGAAAAGCGATTTTCAAGCGCACATTGTGTAGGTGTGACATATAGATTTTGAGGAAACATGTTAATTGTTGGCATCATATCTATAACACTGTTCTTGGCTATGAATAAAACGTTAGGACACACACACACACAGCCGAGACCCGGACCCAGAAAATTCTGACAAAAAGGTTAAAAAGTAAGAAGTGAAAAATCTAATTACTCGTTCTTTGTGTATAATTAATGAAAATTACTAGAGCACCCTAATACTCTTTGTGAAAAGAATAATACAGATACAATCTGAGCAATTAGAGCATATCATGCTGTATGATAGCCACGCTAAAACTTAATTTCCTGCTCATTAGCGGTTAGTGGATTAGTGGAGAGGAAAGATACCCCAAGAAATTGGTAGGAGACAGTGTACAGTCAGGTAGAGCCGAGTGCGCCGCCGCGCCCTGTCCCTTATGATACAAACATGACCTATGAGCAACACTGTCAACACAACTGTGCGAGAAAGGTTTGCACGCAACCAACACACACACACATTACACGAATGGAAAATCTTACATTTAACACAAACTAGAGTTTGGCACAGTCGGTGGCAGCAGTGTGGTAAAGGTCAAAGGGAACACGGATCAGTTGAGATGCTGGTTGGCTGGACGGTGAGCTTTCTCTTGTCCTACTTAAAGGACAGTGTGCTGCTGCCGGCAGATAAGACATTTCATCCAACCACCAAGACGCACTGCTTCCAGCTCAGGGTGTGGGGGGGGGGGGGGGGGGGGGGGTGATTTCCCACCAGACCATGTGGACTAGCAGGGTT